GTACTCAGGTGAATATGATATTTGTGGTGTTACTCTGAGTGTATATCCACACCGGGCGAGCTTGAAAAATATGCCCGGCCACGGTGGGATTCGAACCTACGACCTTTGGATACTAGCCCAATGCTTTTCCAACTGAGCTACGCGGTCAGGACGGTTCGAGTATGCGATATTTCGGAACAGAATCTAGTTCCTTCAATACCAATGTTTTTTCTAGTAATATGAATTTTTCTGTGTTGGTGTAGTGTACTCAGTTGTGGTGTTACTCTGAGTGTATATCCACACCGGGCGAGCTTGAAAAATATGCCCGGCCACGGTGGGATTCGAACCTAGCTACGACCTTTGGATACCAGCCCTAGTATCCAAAGGTCGTAGGTTCGAATCCCACCGTGGCCGGGCATATTTTTCAAGCTCGCCAGGTGTGGATATACACTCAGAGTAACACCACAAATATCATATTCACCTGAGTACACTACACCAACACAGAAAAAATTCATATTACTAGAAAAAACATTGGTATTGAAGGAACTACATTCTGTTCCGAAATATCGCATACTCGAACCGTCCTGACCGCGTAGCTCAGTTGGAAGAGCATTGGGCTAGTATCCAAAGGTCGTAGGTTCGAATCCCACCGTGGCCGGGCATATTTTTCAAGCTCGCCCGGTGTGGATATACACTCAGAGTAACACCACAAATATCATATTCACCTGAGTACACTACACCAACACAGAAAAAATTCATATTACTAGAAAAAACATTGGTATTGAAGGAACTAGATTCTGTTCCGAAATATCGCATACTCGAACCGTCCTGACCGCGTAGCTCAGTTGGAAGAGCATTGGGCTAGTATCCAAAGGTCGTAGGTTCGAATCCCACCGTGGCCGGGCATATTTTTCAAGCTCGCCCAGTGTGGAGTAACACCACAAATATCATGCATATATTTAAAAAATGGCCTGTGACTGTCATGTTCAAAACTACGAGCAAAATTGAGAAAACTTTACCGCATGTTCAGCAGTTTCCAAGACTCTTAGTTCGTGCGGAATCCAGAACCAAAATTAGGCCATTTTGATAAGTTTTACCCTTTAAATCAAGCTTTTAATACTTAAAAAAACGGCCATTGACTCTCGCGCCCTTCGCCTCCGCTTTACGTTCGAACGCGGTGTTATTTCAATCTGTTTTCCTATTGGTCGAAACCACAATGTATAAGAGGACAGATGCCAAATATTTATTTATTAATTAGTATTACCATGAATGTTACGATGTCAATGTGGAGGTTTAGATTTTACTTCTGCTACCGCTACCGTTACCACAAGCGGCCATTAACCAATCAAATGCGTTTGATTTATCCGGATTAACCAATCAGTCAAGCCAGTGACAGGTAGTGATAACGCCGGCGGAAGTCAAATCTGATCTCTCTATTATTGTATATTTACAACTGAATGCCCAACAGCAAAACAATTTAGTTATTTATTAAATATTTGTTTTAGAGACAACATGTAAAACGAATTGTCAACGGCTAGGTAACGTAAAACTATTTACTGCATGATGTAGTAAAAAAGAATTAGTCTAGGATCTGTATATGAGTTTGTAATGCGTTTCATCACACAGGTAATCTCAACTGTTTTAGGATAAAATGACCATGGCGGTCAACATGGCATATGTGCCAAAACCTCAATCCAAGGCGAAAGTCCTGAAAATGACCCCGCCCTGAAACGGCATTGCAGGCTCATAAATCACTACAATGTTGATAATGACTATAACACTAGGGAGGAATTAGTTGAATCTTTTATTTCTGAATCGAATGGGGGTATTTCTGTCTTCATAGCATGCACTGAACCGACGATATGAAATTTCTAGCCGTCATCCTCTAGAGGTTGCGCGACTGGCTTGTGATGCAAAAGAGTTTAAAATATTCATCAAAAACTTAACCTTTATCGATAACTTTGAGTTTGAAATAAAATGAATTCTAATTCTCGCATGCAAATAACTTTACTTACTTTTTTATTTAAGAATTTTAATATAAAAAAAGGTTGCCAATAAAGATACACTGAAATTTATGCTGTATTTTTACGCAACGATTAGCTTCTAAAACAATTATAAAGCAAACAACACGAGAAGCCAGTCAGCTCCAGTTTCAGATTCACAGCTCCAGTTTCAGATTGAATCTGGAGCCAGAGGCATGGCGTTCGTGTTCGAATGGCTCTAACTCCACAAAGCCTTCGCCCATCCTAACAATAATTTTTCCATTCTTTTTCAAGAAAAGGACTATCATGCATATAACGCAATGCCTGAGTCGCTACTGCTTCTAGATTTCTCTAAACAGCTTGCATAAGTCAAGTCGCCAAACCGTGTCGGGTCAATTAAATCTTAAGCAAGACACGGTAGTTCCTATCTAAATCGCTGTATCGTCGTAAGGAATAAATGTAACGCTATAATAATTTTTTTCATTCGTCATTGATAATTTACACATCACCCAGAGCATTCGGCTTGTCTGTAGCGCTTTTAGTTTTCTCTGGAGGCCTCGCATAAGTTATGTCACCAAACAGCGACATATTGATGGAGACTGCAAAGACACGTGCCGCTTAGCGATTTAAAACGCTCGTTCTCCGCCACAAGTTACTTTATCGTCATAATATTTTTTTTCGTTCTTTACCCATAATATTCGCATCATATGAGATTATTTTTACATAATGTATATCATGAATAAAGTTCCTGAAATTACGTGACAGTTCGCTTATATTGGCCAAGTACGAGGCGATAAAATGCAACCAATAATTATAAGCAAATAGCGGTAGTTCATCTCTCTTTCGCCTGCTTATTGCTCGAAGGTTAAATTAAGCCCAATAGACTCAATTTGCACATCGAGTACTTTAATTATACAATTTACGCACAACACTATGAAAGTACGATAATGTGATGCGTATAATTTAAATTCTATTTTAGCAAAATTTTGTCAACATTGTCAACAAGATGAGCGTAAGTAATTGTTTTTAATCCTTATAGTATATTATTCCATGAATTTTGTAAACTCTTTGGAAAATCGTGTAAATTCCTAGAATAGAATAGAATAGAATAGAATAGAATAGAATGGAATAGAATAGAATGGAATGGAATGGAATAATCAATTTAATGTCAAATCACACAGAGTGTGGTTGCCCAGTCACTCGAACCAGGGGCGCATGGTAGAAGTGTTCCCTGCTTGCAGAATCGAATTTGAGAATTGGCAAGCAGGGTACGTGAAGTTATGCGAGTTATTGAGTTTCAATTTTCAATAAACAAGCAAATAATTATAAGATGCCCAATTATAAGATACACAACTTGTGGGAATGTCCATTTTCTACTTTCATCTTCATAATTGTTACAGGTCTGTTTTTTGGAAATCTTTCATTAATTATCATTAATTATCATAAACTTCATTAATTATTTAATGGAAAAAATCTGAATTTGGGAAATTTACTCTGACTGACTTATACATTATGAAGCAGTACATAAATAATATTTAGTTTAGGTTTTTTCCAAAAGAATGGTGTAATTGGGCGTATAAGCAGCCTTTCAGTGTATGTAGAGCAAGATCACTTCTCGGACAAGAACTGCAAATATAGCTGCAAAATATCCATCAATCGCCTTGTGCATGCATGTAAAAGTCGCTCCAAACAATGTGGTTAATCAGAAGTTATGCATGTACGGAATGTAAAAGTTCGTTGAGTTCTGCATTGTTGAAGGTCTTATTGTTTTTATCATCCACGTTCCCATGTTACTGCAGAAAGTCTCATCGCTAGAAATGAAGTACAACATGGCTGACAAACATGCGCATTAAGCTTTCACCAAATAAATTCAAAATGTCGGCGTTAGGCCTACAGGTATATAGATTTGTGTTCGCTTCAGTAAATAAATTACAAGGTCCCACGTCTAAACATTTATCAAATAAGGCCAGTATCAACTCCAGAAAATCTGACGACAATCCGAGTAGCGTAGATGTGTCCATGAGAGATTTATATTTCTACTTCTCACTTTGTGTATAAACATTCCTGAGTTGTTACTAGGTTACCAGGGTCTATACTAACCGCTCTATTATTTTTAAATTTGGTCGTATATTCATAAAAACAAGCGCCATTTGGCGCGGGAAATTTAATTTACTTAGTATATTTGGTTTGTGTTGGCGAAGATTCGTTCTGAGATTTTAATAATAAAGGGATTACTGTTGCCAGTATTAGTATTTACGTTTATTTTTGTTTGATTATAGCCATATAGTATTTTGCATAGGAGCGTTGGCAGAATATACCCGTCCACTTTTGAAGACCTCGCTTGTCATCCTGATAAGATGATACGAAGTGAAAATGATTACGTAATAGGCTAATTGTATACTCCCGCTATTATAAACTCATGGGTGAGTATATTTTTGCGTTATTGCCTGTCATGATAACAAGTGAGGTATTTAGAAGTGGACGGGTATTCTGTAATCGCTCCCCTTATTGAATCGAACCGCCATTTTTGAGATTTGGAGCCCATAGGTCAACTCACTGGCTGACCTCGATGTATGCTGTTTTTTCCCCTTAGTAAACTACCATCAATGCAAAGAAGTGAACACGAAGTGTGAAGGTTGGTTTGAAACAATTACATTCAGTCTAACGTTTTATTCTGACTTGACAATTTGAGTTTTAATCGTCTTGTCTGCATTCAATGCACGTGGCAACATCCTAGTTTTTCTTCGTCCCGTCTAGCCTCTCGCCATCTCAACAGTGGCGGCGCCAGGGGGGGGGGCAAATGGCCCCCTAAAATTATTTTTTGCCCCCCTCCATTTTGCCCCCCCCTCCCCTCAAAAAAAATTATTAGTCTCTAAGAGCGACTAAAGGCTACACAATCGTTTTGTCGTTATCGGAAAATGTATGTCTTATAAGTTGTCATTACTCATTAGTGAATGCACGTATACATGAAACTGTTTTTTACAGTTTCAATATTAGTTTGTAAATCTCTGAATGGTAAGACTTGCCAATACTCCAATAATACGTTTCAAAAAAAGACATAAAAGCTTTAGTATTGCAGAGTTAAATTCTCAAACGTATAAGACGTATCACGAAATTATTTGAATAAACCACATCGCATATATGGGGGACGAATGTCCTAAAGAGGGGCGATATTCCTAGGGTATTCGCCCCACCTCCCTGGGAGGCGATATTCCTAGGATATTCGCCCCCGGGGGCGATATTCCTAGGAATATCCCCACGTTTTGAGGGGGGCGAATCTCCTGGGGCGGGGGCGAACTTTTTAAAAATTCTATCTTGCCCCCCCCCAAAATTTGAGTTTGCCCCTCAAATGCCCCCCCCAAAAAAAAAAAAAATTGGAGGCCTGGCGCCGCCACTGCATCACAATATCTTAAGTTCGGTGAAGGAGGTACATATTAGCAGCCTATATGTACTACCAAGAAAACAAGAAATTCTCATCCTATGTTTACGGTACATCCAAACCATATCGGGACCTCTCCAAGGACGTTTTGGCGCATTTTACGTAGTTTCTGCTTGGTAACGGAAACTGTTCCTTTTTATGCGTGGTTTTCTGTTCTAAAATTATTTCATGGGAGGTTTTTAAGAATATTACAATTAATCCATTTTTAAGTTTGATTATTTAACAATTATTCGCCGAAGGCGAAGTGATTACCGGTAAATATTCACCGAGACGAATACGAAGACAAAGTCGAGGTGAATATTTACCGTAATCACTGAGCGTGAGGCGAATAATTGTTTTAGTATATAAATTTTTAATGATTAATTAAAACAAAATATCCGATTATCAGTTCAATTAAATTCCAGAAATAAAACTCTTTTCGGCCTGTTCACTAATAGTGTTGCAGTGTTTCTTGTACGCACAGGCTTTCAAAATGGCTTCTTGTGTGATTTATTGCTTCATTACAAAGTTGTTTGTCTCGATTTCTGCTTGGAATATAAACACAATAACGGAATGACTCTTTCACCAAAATTAAAAGTATTTTCTGTTTAATTAGCATTAAGTTCTTCAGGAAATGCATGGCTGAGGAATTTGGTAAAATATAAAACTATATCGTTCGAAATAAAGTTTTAATAACACTTTTTACTTTACAAGTTTCGAAAATACAATACAGCGGTCAGAATACCATACAGCACAATGAAAACATGACATATCAAAAGAAATAGTATCGTACAAATTGGGAAATCTATTGCACACAAAATAAAATGGATTTTAAAGAATATCACGTCAAGGTTTTTCTCAACAGTCAGGATGGTTTTTGCTATTTGTTTGAAATACACAAATACTGTCAATCAAAATTCTTTAGCCTCACAATACTCACTTATATATTCTATGAGTTTGGCATTGCAACTGACATCAACATACAAGTATGTAAGCCTGATTATCTGAAATGTTATCATATTTTTAATTTACTACATTCTCTGTAATGCCATAAAGCTGTATTGATCAAATAATTCCACCAACTACTCTACTTTAATGCAGTAAGCAGACCTTAGCAGGCATACTGTATACAGTAATACCCAGTATTTAATAAATCACAGTGAAAATAATTGAACATAATAACAGAACCCAAACTGCCAAGTACGGTTGAAAATTAATATTCCCATATATACTAATATACAGATCACTTATCTATTCCATTTCAACTATACAATGATATCAAAACATGAAAAGTACTTGCTTAGCTTTTATGCAGCTATCAGCCTATCACATGACTATCAAATTTTACTAAAATACTGTTATACTTATAGTATAAAAGGTCTCTGTGATATCAACAGCTCAAACTGCAAAGTTATTCGTTGAACTGTTTTTATATACAACCGGCAACAGAGCTACTGAACCAACGATACGCGCAAAATTTTAGGGGAAATATTTTAATACACAATCACATTCACAAAATTCGTGAAAATATTGATTTACAGTAAAAAGCAAAGTTAAAGGTGAATATTGTAGTAAACATACCGTGCTTGCCTGTCTGTGACCAACATTAAATTTAGTAGAAACAATCTGTAGGGACAAGGCTTTTTGAATCCATTTTAATATCATAATACATCAATAACATGATATTAAAAAAACTTTAAAATGTCGATGCATATCCCGCCATATTGCCTTTGCGGAATCGAATGATTCTGACCAGTGAACTAAAAATACCTGGAACGCTACCTCCAATAGGATTGGCTTATAATCGGATGAAGCCAAATTTTACTTCCAGCCGCGCGTGTTCTACCTCCAGACACGCGCGTTTGTGTTGCGAGACATTCTCGCGAGACCATTTCGGCGAAGTGACTGAATGTTTTTTTCTCGGGCGAATAGACCAATTGCGAAACCTAGTGGCCGCGCCTTCATACTGCACGAGAACGAGGCTTATTATGCAAAAACAAAACAATTTCTATATTTTTACATAGTGAAAAGTGAATTTTAGGGTTTTCGAAGTGGTTTTTTTTTCTTGAATCTCTTTGATCTTTTCTTAATATTTCGTGCTAGGTTATATAAATATTTGTTAAATTTATCTAAACATCGATTTTCCACTATATTTTCACCCGCTTTGGAGAGATATTTCGTTGTTGTTTTAGCATGCGATGGAACAAACATATGGAAAAGATCAATCTAGACTTTAAAATCTGATCAAGATGCAAATAAAATAGCCAGTATAACTTAATAAACTAAAATATAACTCTTTCTACCCAGATTTTTTTAGACTTCGTGCGAGAAAAAAAGATTTTGTCAAAGGATAATAACATAAAATTTCTACAAATTTTGCCCGATATTTACTTTCATATTTTTAAAGTTAAAATCGAAAATATTACTATAATTATATTACAACTGAAACAAAATTTATCAATGTTACAACTTATTCTTTGAAAAGTATTAATAAAACAGACGGAAAATACCTGATTCTTTCTTTGGTATAATCTGCTTCTTTTATTGGACGGCGAAAAACAGCAAAACTTTGCCTCGCACACCGCAAAAAAAACATGAAATTTGAAGTAAGACTAAATCTATGAACAAGCTAGTTTAATAAAGATTTACATAGTCAAAACAAAAATATTGAAAAAAAATGAAGAGATTACCATAAAAACGCGTCTCAAACACTGAAATTCATTTTTCGCCATATAAAAATATAGCAGAATGATTTGTTTTTGCATAATAAGCCTCGTTTTCGTGCAGTTGAAGGCGCGGTCACTAAGTTTCGCAATTGGTCTATGGATCAAAAATTGACGTTTATTTTAAAAAAATTGACGTTTATTTTTGTTTTAAAAGTGTATTTAAAACATACCTTGAACCCTACCGACTAAAATTGCAAGGAAGAAAGTAACCGATTGGAGGCAACAAGTGCATATTTGAATGACTGGAACGTTTATATGCAGATGAAACTTGAGAAAGATAAGTAATTCTTTATCTTATAAACGTATTAAACATATATTTATAACAACTTCATTGATTGTTAAACAAGATAAGTTTATTTAATTAATCTGTATCTATCACTATGGTTTGCCTTCGTTGACGACTTGTTCTGTGTATTTCTTGCCGAATGTGAATAATCGCAACATGAAATACTTGTCCGCGAAAAAAACTTTCTTAATGTCTTTAATGTTTATATTTGTTATTTTATACCTTTAAAACTTAATAAATACTCTACTACAAAACATAATTAAACTGTGGTTGGTAGTTTGATCTTGTTAGAATACCTTTTTTCCTAACTTTCAGACGAATAAATTGGAAAACAAATGAGCAAAATAGGGAAATTCACATAAATACTTATGATTAGACCATGGCAAGCTCCACTCCTCGCTCAACATTTTTTCTCAAAAAACGAAATTTAATTACGAATTCTACACAAATAAATTAAAAATATTTTACTCTAGAGTTTTGAAGGATGTTTTTATTGTAAAAAAATGTACTGGTAGGTGCATTTTACGTCGTCTTAAACCATGTTTTAGTGCATTTTTTTACCCAGTTTTGTTAATTTAAAAAACCCGCGTTCATTTCCGTTACGTGAAAAGACTGGGCATGATAGCAGTGGGCATGCCTGGGTATTGCTTCACATTTCCGGTTGGAGGTATCGTTCCAGTTATTTTTAGTTCAATGATTCTGACTTATAGACTGCGCAGACCTCCCCCAGACCACAGAGGAATTACCGCGATGATGGGAAGGAAGATTCCGTTTACCAGGGGGGCGGGATGCTGTCTTGGAACAGATATTGAAAATATTGCTCCCTTCAGCGGAAAAATTACAATCTGCTTGCAATGCTTAGTGTTAGTGTTAATGAGAGGCAGTGAATTCTGAATATAAAAGCTTGATAGGGAACAGGAATATAATTATTAAACAATAATACAGTTTTATACAGAGGAATCATTGTCATTTGCATTGATTTACGTTTCCAAAGCAAGTAAGTTGGGCATTAATTTTAGTATTATGACCGTTGGTTATCATTTAATATATCATTGTGGTTCGAAATTTCGTTAATTAAAATAGTTATTAAAGTTCTAAATTTAATAGTAAATAATCTATAATTTCCTGGCAAGCTTTTTAGCTTCTCTCTATTTCATATCAATGTTTATATTAAATTAAATTAAAAATTGAATACAAGTACTGCTGCTTGCAAACAAATTCGAACCTAATTGATAATGTCATGATTCATGAAAACAGCTAAAAATTACAAAATATGTGGTAAAGCTAGTCATTGCAAGTTAGCAACTGATACTGTGAAGATTTAGGAAGCAATGCAGTTCTATACACACTATGCATAATGCCTCAAATTATACAATTTGGCATCTGGCTACCAGCCTCGTTTTGATGCAACTTGTTTCCAGGTCCCGAGCTATTGTGCATATCATGTATGTATTGTAGAATATAGAATAAAACACTTTTCTAGGCCTGCTACTTCAAGTACTGCATACTTGCTTTGCATAATGCACAAACAAAACAAAATACATAGTGTGTATACAATATCCAGATTTTTCCTTAACTCGCCTTATCTCGGCTTAACTTGCAAGGGTCAGTAGCCAGATTTTTCCTAAACTCGCATAGGCTCGCCTTATCTCGCGGCGAGTTAAGGTCCCAGAGCAGGCCTATGGTAGGTATTGCAAACTTCGAACCTTTTACTCACAGAAACTAGTTGTAAATGAAAACATGATTGTATTTATAGGGTCATCTAGCTATATGACTAATCTATCAGTATTTTTTTCCAATTGCCCTCGAAACCATGCTATTACCTTCGTTTAAAAATTGTTCCTTTTTTCGAATAAAGTTTCAGTCAATTTGGTTAAAAGATATATTAAGATAAAAAGGTGGGAGCTGAAACCTACAGTGATAGTGAACGCCAATGTTTCGATGTTAAAACAAATTTTAACCATTTTATTAATATATTTTATATAGATCCGAATAAAACGACCACATGTGAAACTGCATGCTCCGCAGAAGGTAAAATATGATGACTCAATATACGGCAATCAGAAATTGAATAACTATAGCTCCACCAGCGCAAATGAAAACGTCACAAATAGCGCAGGCATATTTGTTACCTATATCGTTTACGATTTTCATGCAATTTAGACCAAAAATTGACTTTTTTGCACTTTACCCTACCCTGCGAGCACAAATAGTTTCAGATCGCAATGGTTACGTTATACTGAGGAAAGAATTAATCCAAAGAAATATTTTTGAATTTTCTCTTTGTAGTGGCGTAGTGCGGTGAGGGGGGAAGGGTGGGGGAGGGGAGGGAGGCTCGGCTGGACAGTGGGCATTAATCTACTCGACTACTGAATTTATTTTTGTTCGATTTTCAAGGTCACACGAATAATCTATTTTCCTTATATCCAGGATGGTATTATGACTAATGAGCATGTACTGATTGTATTTCCCAGTTTTAATATGATAAAACATCACTTGAAATTCAGAATATCTTCTTTTGGGGACCTTTGAATAAAAATTCTGGGAGATCACGTCTCAAGGCCTCCCTAGACATGGGTGTACCGGACTTGGGGGGGGGGGGCGGAGGGGGCGGCAGCCCGC